ATGCCCTACAGCGGCGAGGGAACTCGGAGGGGGCTTGGCCACGGCCGATGGCTCTGCCCCCAGCCACATGGCTTCACCACCCGGTTTGTGTCCCTCAACCGCCACCTCCTTCGCTCCTGCACAAAGTCACCCCCTGGCCAGCTGCGCCCTCCCCAGCCCGGGAGCGTTTGGAGGGGGCCGGAATTTGGGGTTCTGCAATCAGGGGCTGCTGCAGTGCCCATGGTCCCCGCCACCCCCCTTTTCCACAAACCCCTCAAGTCCATGGGGCTCTGCTAGGCATAACCCACCCCCAGCACCCAGAGGGTGCTCAGTCATCCCCACCGCAATGGGACGCAGTCCTAGGCGAACAGCACACTTCCCAAAAGACACGGGAGGGAGGAGAGGGAGAGGCCGCCCCCACTCCGCACCTTTCCACTCCACATTTTTGCCCGGTAGCTTCCTCCTCTGCTTCTTCCTGGCCTCTTCCTCCAGGTACAGCAGCACTCGCTCCTGCTCTTCCCCTGACCGGTTCATGAAGTCGTTCCAGATCTGGCAACACAAACGGCCGAGCCCCACTGCAGAGGTGTCCGAGGAGCCCCCGGGGGTGCACGGCCCCCACAGAGCCAGCACCCGTGAGCCTCCTCCGCACCCACCCAGCCCCAGCAGAGCAGAAGGATCGGGGCTGGGCAGAGCTCTGCGATGGACAGCACAGACACCGAGCCCGGCAGACACCAGCTGTGGCAATGGTGAGCTTCCTCCCTGCCTCTGCCCCGCAAGAGGATCCACCCAGGGATCTCCCACCCTCGGGCTGCAGGACCAGACGCCTGGGGCCCGATCTCCCCCACATACACGAGCACCGGGTACACAGATGTCACTGCCACAGCGGGCAGGTGACAGGGCTGGGGGAAAAGAGGCCTCCTCGGGTAGGAGGAGCCGGGTACAGACACCACACACTGCCAAGACTGCACAGGCCGTGCCGTGCTCCCCAGCGAGCACCAGAAAGGCGGCCCCTGCACTCACCTCCACATAGGTCTCGTTGTTGCAGATACACGAGCACCGGGTACACAGATGTCACTGCCACAGCGGGCAGGTGACAGGGCTGGGGGAAAAGAGGCCTCCTCGGGTAGGAGGAGCCGGGTACAGACACCACACACTGCCAAGACTGCACAGGCCGTGCCGTGCTCCCCAGCGAGCACCAGAAAGGCGGCCCCTGCACTCACCTCCACATAGGTCTCGTTGTTGCAGGCCTCGGTGAAGATGCTGGGGGTGGCGGAGTGGGCGAGCTCCCCCTCGTCGCTGCCGCACTCATCTTGCTCCAGCAACGTCATCAGGTAACGAGCTACGGGGAGAGCAGAGCCCTGAGAGGGGAGGCAGCGCCCACAGAGAGACCCCACGGCCCCAGCACCCCACTGTCCAACAGCAGAGGGTTTAGGGGGCAGAGCAGGAGCTCGGAGCCCCCCGACACTTACTGTTCTCCAGCCTCTGAAGGCTCTTGCGGCCCTTGGCCTTGGGGGTGAGGTCTGAGTTGCGGATGGCCTTGTTGATGTAGTACTGCTTGCGCTTGGATGCGGAGAACCGCTTGGATGGGGAGTCCTCCAGCGGGGGCAGGCAGTCCTCGATCCTTCTGTGGGGACACGCAGCGGCGGCGGCTGAGCCCACCCGGACTCCAA